ATGTCAAATGCTTTCGCATCTATGCCCCCTTTCAACAAGTGATGTCAGGAATTGCATCTGTGATGCAATACATGCCGAGCACGTGTACTATCACTAGAGGGCCTCTGGGCTTATTCAACGGATAGTAAGTCCCAAAAATGAATAAATAAAAATAATAAGTACAGCTCATCTATTTGTAAATACCACTGAGTAGCAATGGGGAATTGAGCTTTCATTCTGTTCATTGGTTAAGTGGGACATCCATGAGCAGCCGTCTCAGGACCTAACTAGCATACTAAGACAACATGGTTCACTTTCAGGATGGGTCAGAATGACTCTTCCTGCACTTCCTTCAGCAAACTCCTAAAGCTTGGCCACATCCCCAGCAGCAGGGAGTCCATTCCATAGCCTTGGTAATACATAAGAGGGCGATTTGTGTTAGCCGAATGGGAAGGGAACACAGAGAACTCCCACGAGGCTGATTCTTGGGGTTATGTGTAATGTGCTGCCAGATCTCTCAGCTGTAATTACAAGAAAGCATTATAGGGGCCCAGTCCATTTCCAGGCCATGACATACAAGTTAAGGGAGGTTTAAACCTTTCCCCCGCAAGCCATTTATTTTCCCAGTTTTGTCACACGTGTATTCTCTCTCTTTCCCACACACACACCCCACAAAGGAACACGATGAGAGAGAGAAATGCACACATGCCATTGGCACCAATGAAGGTTTTCCCTCTTGTTTTTTAAGTCTTTGCAAGGAGAAGAATGGGGTTAGGAAAACAAGGACCAGGGAAGGAAACACTTGAATTTCCCCACCCATCCATTGTGGTTGCAATCTAGACTAGGGCCCCATTTGCTTGCCCTTAAGTCAAGCAGCTACACTGCATGTTATATATTTAAGGGATCTGAGTTTGATCCTGTGTCTTCTAACCCTCCAATTTCCAGTAAAAGAAAACTTTGCGGGGCATGTATCTGAGAGACAAAGTAAGCCTGCTCTTTTGCTATCAAAATCATACTGAGGAGAGCAGAAATATGGAAGCAGGAACACAGAAATGAAACATCACAATTGCATTTTATCCCACTGTATTCCAGGATTTTTTCCACCACCACCAAACACTTGTATAACCACGTGGAAACTGCACATGCTAACTGCCCAGAGAGGGCTTTTTTGGCTGAGGGGCCATATAGACAATCAATCAATCAAAGGTGTGGCAAAATCACTGGTCCGATGTTCTCACATGCTTCAAAGGAGATGCTTTTCAAAGACCTGCTAATTATTCACAACTGACCGGCCTGGCAAATGAACCTTGCTGGCGTTCTCCATCATGCCCGAGGATGGTAAGTTAGCTTAGGGAGCCAAAGGCAGGCTACCTGGAACACAGAGCTCTACCCTTCCACACAGGGAATGACCAAGGAGCTGCCACAGAGCACTTGCAGCCTGAAGCAATCACCTCACTCTGTGTCACAGGAGGGCCAGGGCTGCCTTGCTGAACCGGATGAACGACCATGCAGTGAGCCCTTTCTGGGAAATATCACCTGGAGTGGAAATGTGTGTAGGAAATACCACGATCATGTCAAATTGTAAGCATTCTCCTGGGATAGGAAAAGCAATGACATACGGCAAATACCCTGTAGGTCAAATCTCTTATTTGGATTGACAATCACCTTCATCAGATTTTCTTAATCAGCCTGGCTTCTAAATCTGTAAGCTGAACACATTAAACCTGCAAGCATCACACACACACCTCTCAAGAAAAGCACTAAGTGGTTCTACAATGGCAGGTCGAGGAGTCAGAGTCTATTCAAAAGACCTTAACCCTGGTTATCTGATTAGCAGAATGCCCTATTGCTCTGAAAAAGCCTGTGCGGCCCACCATACGGCTGCCTTGTTCTTCCGTCTTTCCCTTGTGGCCAGCCTCAGGGTGGAAGTGAGGCCTCCTTAGGGAAGGCAGGATCCAAGTTTGCAAAGCACTAACTGAGCATTCTTCTCAGCTTATGTTTTAGCTGAACTAAATGCCTTGCTTGCTCCAAAGTGTTAATGTCTTGGTTGAATTTGGAACAGCATATGCTACAAAAGGTGATCAGATCATGAACCTTGCTTTGTTTTTGCTCTGCTTGTCCAGAACTTGAGCTCTTTTGTTTGGAACTTAGGCAGCTGTGCTGGCTGACACAGTTGGTAAATTATGCCTAATGGGCCTTTCAGTCCTAGCCAAGCTCTCATTTTGTGCAAAGGAGTGAGTGCATAATCACCCTTCTGAGGCTGAAAGCGGACCTCCGATGCAGGTTCCCTCTGGTGCACTTCTGGCAGAAAAGAATAACAAAAAATAGTTGACACTACTTCTCTCACCCACATCAAGGAAGCCTGCACCTGCATTTCCGAGGCAGATCTCTGCCTAGTGGTCATTTCTGTCTTTGTCAAGAGAAATGGTGGCTTTGCATCTCCTCCAACAACACCACACATACATGCCCACAAGCCTTCCTTAGGCTTGCACAGTGTTGGAAAGAAGCACCTTGTTAAGCCTCAGGTCACCAGCAAGGCAAGCGGTTTGGCAAGCACAAAAGTGGGAAAGAATTCTTTGCCTGGAAGGTTCAGAGAACCCTCAGCTCAAAGCAGATGACTGGTGACATGGCTTTCTGACTGAGTTTGGCCAGGGACATCCGAGGGTACCTTGATATGCAGGGATCTGAGCTAGGTGGAGCTCTGCCTAGTCTACTATTGTGTCTTCTCACTGGCAGCGTGTCCCTGAGGTCCCAGGCAGAAGTCTTCCACAGCCCTGCTTTCTACTGACTGGAGCTGAGATCTCCAGTGCAGTGCCTAGTGGCATCCACCAGGCTCTTTGCCCTTCCTGTTTTTAGTTCTTAAGCTTATTTTAAAATACAAGCTAGGAGGCTGACATGCTGCAAATGAAATGGTACCCTCCAGCTCCATCTTAATTTGGGCTGAAAAATGCCCATCAATGATGGCAGTCCCACCTCCTAATCCACACAGAATCAGTGCTTTCATAGAATTGTTTTAGCACTTCCCTGTTTAGTCATATAACCATTTTCAGCCTACCCTTCACATCCATGTGAGGCTCACAAGGAAGCTCTTCATCGCAATTGCCCGTCTTGGTTAATAAATGATTCCAAGCACGGGATTGGAACCTGGATCTTGGAAGTGGTTAACGCTTCTCTGAGGGAGGGTCGGGTGCCGGCCCCTTTGAAGGAGGCGGTAGTCCGACCGGTCCGGAAGAAGGCGTCACTGGATCCAGAGATGGCCACTAATTATAGACCAGTGGCCAACATCCCGTTTCTGGGCAAGGTGTTAGAACGAGTGGTGGCGGGACAACTCCAAGCACTCTTGGATGAAACTGATTATCTGGACCCATTGCAGTCCGGCTTCAGACCCGGGTACGGTACTGAATCTGCCTTGGTCGCCCTGTATGATGACCTGTGCAGGGAGAAGGACAGGGGGAGTGCGTCCCTGTTGGTTCTGCTGGACCTCTCAGCAGCTTTCGATACCATCGACCATGGTATCCTTCTGGATAGGCTTGCGGGATTGGGGGTTGGAGGCACTGCTTTGCAGTGGTTCCGCTCCTATCTCAATGGCCGGTTCCAGAAGGTGGTGCTGGGGGACTATGGCTCTGCGCCATGGCAGCTATGCCATGGAGTACCGCAGGGGTCCATTTTGTCCCCTTTGCTGTTCAACATATACATGAAACCGCTGGGAGAGGTCATCAGGAGGTGTGGGCTGCGGAACCATCAGTACGCTGATGATACCCAGCTCTACCTCTCGTTTTCCACCAATCCAGGTGAGGCAGTGGCTGTGCTGAACCGGTGCCTGGCCGAGGTAATGGGCTGGATGAGGGCCAATAAACTGAAGCTCAATCCAGACAAGACGGAGGTCCTGTTGGTTGGTGGATCGGGCTTCGGAGAGGGTGAATTGAACCTTGTCCTGAATGGGGTTGCACTCCCTCTTAGGGACAAGGTCCGCAGCTTGGGAGTGCTCCTCGACCCAGAGCTTTCACTGGAAGCTCAGGTAACAGCAGTGGCGAGGAGTGCTTTCCTCCAGCTTCGGCTAATTCATCAGCTGCGCCCCTATCTGGAGAATGACTGCCTTGCGACAGTGACACATGCGTTGGTGACTTCCCGTTTGGACTTCTGCAACGCGCTCTACGTGGGGCTACCCTTGAAGACGGTCCGGATACTTCAATTGGTCCAAAATAGAGCTGCCAGGCTGCTGACGGGGACTGGACGTTATGTTCACATGACTCCAGTTCTCCGTCAGCTTCACTGGCTTCCCATTGAAGTCCGGGCCCAATTCAAGGTGTTGGTTATGACCTATAAAGCCCTAAACGGCTTGGGTCCTGGTTACCTGAAGGAGCGCTTACATCCTTATATGCCCAGCCGCCCCCTGAGATCGGCGGGAGAGGCCCTTCTCCGGGAGCCCTCCATGGAAGAAGTTAGGAGGGTGGTTACTCGGAGGAGGGCTTTCTCAGCGGTGGCGCCTAAGTTATGGAATGCGCTCCCCAGAGAGGTCCGCCTGGCGCCGTCGTTATTTGTTTTTCGGCGCCAGGCAAAGACCTTTTTATTTAAGCAGTATTTTAAATGTTAATATTATTGAATTTTATTTGGCCAGGGCGGCTTGTTTTATAGTGTATATTTGTATTTTATTGTATATATTTTAAAATGTTATTTTAAATTTTTTGTTGTAAGCCGCCCCGAGGCTTCGGCGAATGGGGCGGCATAAAAATGTTTTAATAAATAAATAAATAAATAAATTTATGAGCGTAGTAGAATAAAAATCAGAGTAGAAAACTAAAAGCCAGAGTCACCTAAAACTTAACTCACAATGTAGGGAGTTCTACAATCTACAAATCCAGAACAAAAAAACACAGCACCATCTGCAAACCAATTGACCTTCCAGTGGCAATGGAATGCAAAACACAGTGAGCAGTGAGCTGAAATGACCAGTAGAAGATACCTGTAGTCACCTTAAATAACAATGCTGGACTATGAAATAACCTGGTCCCCATACTCACAGTAGACTTGGACCACTCTGTACACCCACAAACGCATCATCATCAATAACTCTTAGATATTTGTTCTTATGTAGGTACCTGCAGGGAAAATCATAGACATTAATGATTAGCCAGTAGCAATATTTTGGATTTGAAAAGGTTTTCCTGTAAGAAAATGGTAAAAACTAGAACAGTAGTTTTCTGAGAGCTAGATATCAGGTTCAGACATATAGATTTGCTCAACATGATGGGTTGCTTTTATGATGCCCATCAAGCAGGATGGGTGCAAGACCTCTTCAGCAACTGGTGTATGTGCTACCTCCTTCTACCTCTGGTGAAGGAGGTAGCATATAGTCCGCAAGGCTAGTAGCCACTGATCGCCTCTTCCCTCATGAATCTGTCCAATCCCTTTTTAGAGCCACCCAGATTGGTGGCCATCGCTGCCTCCCATGGTAGGAAATTCCATAGTTTAACTATATGCGGTGTAAAGAAGTGTGGCCTTTCATCTGTCCTAAATGTCCCACCAATCAGCTTCATGGGGTGACCCTGGGTTTGAGTGTTATGGGAGACTGAGAAAGATGTCTCCCACTCTACTTTCACCACACCATGCATTATTTTAAACACCTCTATCATGTCTCCCCTCACTTGCCTTTTCCCCTTTTTCTAAGCTAACAATTCCAGTTGTTATAGCTGCTCCTCATACAGGAGCTGCTGCAGTCCACTGATAATTTTCATTGCCCTTCTCTGTACTTTTTCCAACTTAATAATGTCCTTTTTCAGGTAAAGTGACCAGAACTGAACACACTATTCCATGTGTGGTTGCACCAAATATTTGTATAGGTGAAGTAAAATTCTGGCAGTTCTATTTTCTATCTGATTCCTAATTATGCCTAGCATGGAGTTTGCCTTTTTTTTTTACAGCAGCTATTCACTGGGCTAACATTTTCATCAAGCTGTTCACTACTACACCAAGATAAATTTCTTGCTTACTCACTGCTAGCTCAGATCCCATCAGCAAATACTTGAAGTTGGTCCCAATATGCATTACTTGCTTATATTGAACTGAATTTGCCATTTTGATGTCTGTTCTCTGAGCTTGGAGAGATCCCTTTGGAGCTTCTCACAATGCCTTCATTTTTCCGTGGGAGGTGGTTGAAGCCCCATCAGTGAGGATGTTCAAGGATGGGCTGGACATGCACATGGTAGGTCAGACTAGATGGCCCGAGAGGCTCCTTCTGACTTGCTCTGTTTCTGTGTTTTTAACCACACTAAAAACTGTAGTGTCATAAGCAAACCTTGCACTTCACAACTTACTCTTAATTACAGATAATTTGTGAATAGGTTGAAAAGCATTGGTCCTAATAAAGAACCCAGTGAGATTCCGCTGGTTACAGCTCCCCACTGGAAGAAATTTCCATTTATTCCTACCCTCTCTCTTCTGTTCTTTAATCAATTCATAAGAGGACCCACCTTTAAAAAAATATCCATAACTACTTAGTTTGCTCAGGAGCCTTTGGTGAGGGACTTTGTCAAAAGTCTTTTGGAAGTCCAAGTAAGCAATGTCTATTGGATTGCCCTGTCTACACACTTATTGACACTCTCAAAGAACTCTAATAGATTAGGAAGACAAGACTTCCACTTGTGGAAGACAAACTGATTATTTTCCAGCAACATTTGTCCCTCTGTGTGCTTATTGATTCTATCTTTAATAATGCTTTCAAGAAATTTACTCAGAACAAATGTTAAGCTAACTGTCCTGTAATTTCCTGGATTCCCCCTGGATCTCTTTTTAATAATTGGTGTTACATTGGCCATTCTCCAATCCTCTGGTACAAGGGATGATTTTAGGGACATATAAAATATTTTGGGCAGAAGTCCAGCAATTTCATGTTTAAGTTCTTTGAGAACTCTAGGACACTCTGGACAGGAGACTTTCTGACTTTCAGATTGTCAGTAAGGTTGAGAATTTCATCTTTTGTCACTACTAACTGCCTTTAATCATCCAATGGCCCAACTGCTTCCTTAGCTGCTCTCTTTCAATACATTTAAAGAATTCTTTATTATTAGTCTTGCTGTTGTTAATGATATGCTCCTCAAACTGTTTCCTTGCTTCTCTGATTGTCTGCATGCATCTTCCTTGTATAAGCTTTGGTCCCCTCTGTTCTTTTCATTTGGACAAGACTCAATTTTGTGAAGGAAGCATCCTCCCTAAGACCTTCTTTGACTCTAAGTGCTGGTTATTTCCCTGGTTGACAAAGTGGTTGATCATCTAAATTCTGCTATGAGAGTACAAACATGAATTGAGAAGCAGCTCTGAAATTGAGACAGATCATCCTTTATCTCTGCTCTTCTAAATCTTACAATAGGTATTGTCTGAAAAGGGTCTGACATTACTTTGGGTCTTTGAGCTTAGGGACATGCTATTTTTATTCTACAGGGACTAAAATAGCTTAAAATAGTCTTCTCAATAAAAGCCTTTTTCTTTATGGTTAGAAGTTCAGACCCACCTGGTACTGGCAAAGAAGAGAGTTGGCAGAAAACCCACCAGCACCTTTTCTACAACAATTTGATGGATTGCCCAGGATGTGGCTGGGGAGTGCCTCCTGCTTTCACGGGAAAAGGCAACAAACTGAGAGGTAAGGTCTTAATTAATAGCTCAGTCATGTCTCAAAGCTCCAAGCTGGGAAGAATGCCTTGCAATTCCTTACAAAGAACATTTTCTTCTTTGGTGATATATGTGAGTATTCTAGGAAAACCACGAGTGGGCAGCTTTGGGGATTTTCAATTCAGCATGGCCAAAATTGTCAAAGAACTTAATGACTTTTTAGCATTGGCAGCCAGTTGTTACTGCTTTTCAGATTTTGATAACAATGTTTACCTGCTCCTTTATGGCCATAGCAAGCACAGGTTCAGTCAGACTATGAGCATGTAACTTTTTCAAAATAAACTGCATTTAACCACAGCCAAATGGATGCCTGCTTTCTTGAGAGAGCTGAAAAGGAGTAAAAGTTTTAAGCCAGCTGCAATCTTCCTGTGGTATAACTCATCTGAAGAAATCCAGAATATAAAGCAGAAATAGTATGAGGGAGATTTTTTGGGGTGAGCATGGTATATTTGCCAATTTTGGCATATGACATGAGTCTGTGTTTAGACTTTGTTGGGGAGTGAAGACTTATTTCAGAACAAAATACAGGGACACCAAATAGCCTTTGTCAAAGGATGGATGAGGAAAGCTTTCAGAATGTCTTGTCCATGAAAAACTCCAATTCATGTGCTTGCTTCTCAAATAAAATACAAACTACTCTTTCTTTAGAGTTCTTAGCTCCCGCACTTTCATCTTTCCACTTCAGTTTAAACTACTTGGTTTAAATAACAAACCAACCAAGCTGCTAATGTTACACTTTCAAAAATAAATTTCACTGTCAGGGAGTGGCTTAATTATTTTAGACTGTATTACTAAAAATGGTGAAAATGTTTGTTTTAATTCTGAGTCTTTGAGCCAAGAAAACTAATCAAAATTCACACTGGAATTACTTTGCATTGCTTTGTTTTTAAACATTTCTAGCAAATCATGAAACATCAAAAAAGAACTTGAAAAGCACACACTATGGCTGTTGGCTAGAACCAATGTCTGCTCTCTCCCCATAAAAATAATTCAATGTAAATAAAATCATATCATTCATAGTTTTGATTTGAAGTTGAGAAGCATAAAGTGTCAAATAGGGTTTATTTATTTGAAAGAAACTATATGATATAATTCAGTACAATTATTCTAGAGCGCGTCTTATGTAGAAGGTCTCCTTTCCAGGCAGGTGTCACTCATCATCATCATCAGCCTGTATCTATAGCCCACTTCTCCTCTTGCAAGGAACCCAGGCAGCTTATGCATCTCCCAGTCCAACATACCACAATGCCACACTGGCTCTCTTTAAATCATGAAACCAGCCCTGGCTGGCCAGATTAAGCCTAATAAAGATTGCGGCTAGAAGCCTCTTGGTGAGATTTGTTGGGAAGGAAAAAGGAGAGAGAAAATGCCAGCCCACCAGACTAGGATTATCTGCCTTGCCCCTCCAAGTTGGAGTCATAAGTCAAGAGCATGGCCTCATTCATACCAAGCCTGAATTTTCTCGAATTCTCCCTTATCATTACACGCTAACAGTGCTTCTGTCTGGCTCCAATCCAATATGCAGAAGTTAAATGCTGAGGTGCCATACAGAGCTACTGCTTTTTAGCTCCAGCAGATCCAGGGCGCGAACCAGAAAACATTAGTCATTATGATGGAATTCCATTAAGAACAATGAAATGGGACTGCCCATTAAAACAGCTAACTGAAATCTGATTGAGTTCAATGGAGATTAACCTTGTTAAACTTTTTCTGGACTTTTCCTTAAAGGTGCATGAAGAGAGAAGCCCAGTATTATTATTTTTCTGTTTTTTGCCTGAATCTGGAGTGTGCAATTTTAAAAGCATCAACATTTATTTATTTTATTTATGTGGGATATTTCTAGGGTGTCCAATCACTTTGAGTCTCTGGGTGGCTCACAACATGACCCTTTCTATTTTTTTCTGCATCTTTCTTAAATCTTGGTGTCTAGAACTGGACACAGAATTCCAGATAAGGTCTGACTAGTGAGGAGTATATAAGAAGTAGTACTTCCGCTATACTTCTCACTAGTCAGACCTCACCTGGAATACTGTGACCAGTTCTGGGCACCAAGATTTAAATAAAATGCAGGAAAAAAATAGAAAGGGTCCAGAGGAGGGCAACAAAGATGATCCAGGGTTTGAAAACGCTGCCCTATGAAGAGAGAAGGAGAGAACTGGGCATGTTCAGCCCTGAGAAGAGAAGATTGAGGGGGGACAGGATATCCCTCTAACCTCAAACGCTGTCACAAAGGGGAAGGTCCAGATCTCTTCTTGCTGATGCCAGAGTGTAGGACACGGAATAATCAGTTCAAGTTGTGACAACCCAGGTTCAGGCTGGACATCAGGAAAAGCTTCCTCACTGTCAGAGCAATACGACAGTGGAACCAGCTGCCTAGAGAAGGGATGCACTCTCCCACATTAGAGGCATCCAAAAAGAAACTGGGCGGCCACCTGAGTGGGATGGTGTAACTTGGTGTCCTACAACAGCAGAGGGTTAGACTCGATGGCCTTCATGGCCCCTTCTGACTCTTCTATTCTGATTCTATGATATGGGAAATTTTGATCCTGCTTCTAAAATATTAAATACAAAAAAATTTCATTGGTACTCTATGTGAACATGCACACAGAAAATGATTTCTTTCTGTGTGTGGGGTGTGGGGGGGCGGGGCGGGGGGGGCAGCTGATCCTTTGGGATCACAGCAGGAACCAAGCATCCATACATAGGAAGCAGAAAGTCCACCACATAATGGATGTACTGCTTATTTCCTTGCATGATTTGCTAATTGCTAAAGTGCAATTTGACTGAGTGGTTGATTTAACATTTAGCTAAAGCTAGGGAGCCAGCAGCCTGCTCAGATTTAAGCCACAAGAGTTCTCAGCTCTTAAGTACATTCTGCTAAAGGAATTATACTTCTATAGGTGCAACAGAAGAGCTTGGTAAAAATTCAGCTCTTTTTTTTGAAAACCCAAGTAACTCATGGTGAGCGTAGCCAGATTTTCTGATGAGGCATGTCCATTTAAGCAGCATGATATAAAGTTTCAAGATGCTGAATTCCATTCATGTAGAAAGATTTCAAAAGTCCTGAAAATGTCTGGACAGGAGCTATTTTTAGGAGCAACTACATCATGGTATTCTTATATAAATCTGTGATTTTACCCTTCTGGCAATGGGCAACCTTAATTCAGAAGCAACCAAATAACATAGCTATTAACTCATACCTCCTAAAAGTCCCTACCTGCTAATAATATGTATATTCTTTCCCCATACTGCAATTTCTCATACAGGAAACTTGTTATTCTTGAAAAATACATAAAAGTCTTTTGGAAAGGCACTTTGAAAACAATTGCCTCATATTCCCTCATATTTTCTTTTTTCAAAACTGAGATTTCATTTCCTTTTTCAGAAATTCTATATAAATGTGTATATATATGCAGAAATTCTTTCTCCTGCAAGACTAAGAATGATTATTATAGTAGTACAATATTATTTGGTGCGAATTGTTACACCTGCTGAATGAGGGTGGAATGAGGTCCATGTTCATACCTGGCCTTGACCGGCATCCCATGAGAGCACTCTGAAATATCACTGGAGCATAACACTGAAAGAAAATGGTGGAGCAAACTGTACTGGGCTTGGCAGGGCAGGACAGAGTGAATCCTTGAAGCAAAGGACCTGTCTACACATCCATTTAGGATCTCCATTTTTGCTGATTCCCTCCACCCTCTCCTATGAACTCACTAACAGCATATTCCTGTTGTGCTTTTAGACAGAAAGATATCCTGGATTCACAGATGATAAGGCCATGAGGTTCAATCTGCTACACAATGCAGGACTCCAAGTTAAAGCTTCCTACAACTCATGGCTTTCCCCAGCTCTCTGAGATTTCGTGGCAGCCTTCTCTCCCATCTTCATCTGAGAAAGTGGGGTAACAAGACTGATTTACCATCCAGGGTTGTCGTAAAGATCACAGCAAATGTATAAGAAGAGCTTTGAACACTTGAAAGTGCTATATGAATGCTAAGTATTCTTATTTACTTACACGGAATCTAACTTTGTTCCATTGAAAGCATGAGCTTCTATCTTTGTGAAACCATTATTGTAGAGCTTTCTGCAAACAAACAAAAATCACAAGTTTATTTATTTATTAAATTTCCCCCCACCCATTAGCCAGGAAGACTCTCTGAGTGGCTTACAAGATAGTGCAATATTAGTGACTTGTATGATACAATACGAGCAGTCTTGGTATACTTTCATGCACCCTTGGCCCTCATGATGACAATGATATATTTTATATTTGTGCCCAAACCAATGTCAGGTATTCTAACATGCCTGGGATGGGGGAAAATTTCCATAGAAACCCTAATGAAACATAAACTTGGATGCAGAAGAACCTACCACAGCCTCCATTACTATGCAGTGTGTCTCTTGAAGTTTTCATGCCAACAATTGTATTTTAGACTTCGTGTTACAATCTTGTAATCCCTATTGAATTCATACTAGAATAGTTCACCTATGTATACTTTTCTAATAAATAACAACAAAACCAAAGCTACACTTATTCTGTAATGTTTTCATGACTTGTGTAATGTAGAAAAATAGTTTTGTAGTATGTTATGATTGCAATTATTTATTTTGATCATATTTATACATATAAATATATAATCATAACACAAAGGTTTAAAAAGCATTAAACAGTAATAGGCTTAGGAATGGCATGTAGCACAAAACGGTTCATTTAAGAAGGCAAAACTAGATTTAGTTTAAGTTCAAAAAGACAGCTCACTTGGAAAAACAAAATCCTTATTTAAACATGCCATGTTTCTTGAGCTATGACCTCATGAAAGCTAATACATGAACCATAATAAACTATTTAAACAATGGAAACACAAAACCAGAAGCAGAGGTGATAACAACAACAAACAACAAATTTAGCAGGAGAATAGTTCAGCAACCCTGCAGAATAATCCAAAGGAAACTCCTTCAGAAAGAAAGCTTCAAATGCTCTCTGTGGTGAAATGGGATTTGCTTGACATTGGAAAATCCATAAAAGATTGGACAAACCTTCCTCACAATGGATTTTTCAGTTTTGGTGCCAGTGCTGAAAAGGCTCTTCTGGGCAGTGCTCCACAGGGGGTCCACCAGTCATCAAATGTTATAGCATATGGACAGGGACCTACCATCAGTGGTGTTCTTCCCTTTTTGATGTTAGGGGAGCATTCCTGCAGTGCAATACTCCAGCAGGGGCCTATATCAATTTAATTTTTTAAAGTTACAGAATAAGGAAGGCAAGTAGAAGACTCACGTTGCTTGCCACCATTGATTCCACTGGGAATATCGAATAATTGTCCATACCACTTATGCATCTGAATTTCCCAAAGCACAACATCATGGTACAGTCCATCTAGGTGGCTATGAGCCAGTTTAAATTAAGGCATGGGGGCCCTCATGTCAATTAGTGGTGGTGGTGTTGTTGTTAGTTAGGAATTCGTGTCTGACCCATCGTGACCCCATGGACAACATTCCTCCAGGCCTTCCTGTCCTCCACCATCCCCCAGAGTCCACTTAAGCTTACACCAGTGACTCCAGTGCTTCAGTGACTCCATCTAGCCACCTCATTCTCTGCCGTCCCCTTCTTCTTTTGCCATCTATTGTTCCCAGCATCAGGCTCCTCCAGGGAGTTCTTCCTTCTCATTAGGTGGCCAAAGTATTTGAGTTTCATCTTCAGTATCTGGCCTTCTAAAGAGCAGTCAGGGTTGATCTCCTCTAAGACTGACTGGTTTGATCGCCTTGCAGTCCAAGGGACTCGCAGGAGTCTCCTCCAGCACCACAATTCGAAGGCCTCAGTTCTTCAGTGCTCAGCCTTCCTTATGGTCCAGCTTTCACAGCCATACATTGCAACTGGGAAAACCATAGCCTGGCAGCTTCCCACTGATGGGTGCAATTTTAATTTCTACAGTGGTATGTTGGGCGCTCCAGACTAGCCCAAGATAGTTTGCTGCCTCACATGAAGAACAAAATAGAGTCTTTCCCATTCCATGTAAAAATAGCCAACTTAAATTGGCACATGAATCTGTCTTCAATCTGAAGGCAGCAGGTTAAGGTAGGAGGTGCAGAGTAAAGTGCACAACGCATCTGAAGTGACTGCCTTACTCTTTCTAATGGTAGGGTTGGGGAAATTGGAAATGCCACCTGGTAATACGTATTACTGATTATGGCTGAACTACTATTTCACAATGGATAAAACACAATAGAGCCAAAGAAAACAACATACAGTATAAGAGATTCATTGCATAGTCCATGGAATGCATTTGCCGGCACGGAACTCATGTACGGATTATCAGCAATTTCACTGTAAGAAAGATGGAAAAACTAAATGCAGTTATAGATTATTGTAACCATATTCTCATTTCATGGAAGAGAAGGCTATTGGGCTAGTAGCCCTGATGCCAATATATTGCCTCCAGTAGCAGAAGTTATATATAGATAGCCAGTGTGGCGTAGTGGTTAAGAGCATGGGACTGGGACTCAGGCAGTCTGGGTTCTAGTCCCCGCTCGGCCATGGAGCCAACTGGGTGACTTTGGGCCAGTCACAGACTCTCAGCCCAACCTACCTCACAGGGTTGTTGTTGTGGGGATAAGATGGAGGAGGAGATGTAAGCTGCCCTGAGCCCTTTGTAGGAAAAAGGCAGGATATAAATCAAAAAATCGAAATAAATAAATAAATAAATAAATAAATAAATATGCCTGTCTGCACCAGTTGCTGGGGAACATGTCCAGGTTATATGAAGAGGTTCTTTTCATACCCTGACTGGACCAGCTAGTGCAAAAGTCTCCCATCTTGAATACTTTCCCTCCTGCTCTGTCTTCCCTCATGCCAGGGAATGATAGGCAACTGCCAGGGGCCCAGGAGCCAATTTCTGCCCTCAGAACCCCCTCGTGGGGGCACACCCTGCCCTGTCTGAATTTGCTTCTGAAATTTGGCAGTGTGGCAGCAAAAAGGGGTGCTTTTTCTTTCAAACCAGGTCTTTTCTTGTTGCCAGGCTGGTTAATTTTGGAAGTCAATGTGGGAGTGGGAGCACAACAAGGCCTGGGGTCAAATGCGCGCTGCATGTTACTCAGTTGTAGTCCAGTGCTACACAACACGAGATACAGCATCACAGCACCACCAGCTTTCCTTGACCCATCATCATTTCCGGAGAGGCAACCATGATAGGAACACTTCTTTTCCACATCTGCCTGGGCATGTGTACACGTCTGAGTTCCCGTATGGATGTGGATGAGAATGCAGAGCATGACGCTGCTGACTGCAGTTTGTTGCAATATATTTGGGCTAGTTTGTACTTACAGCAAAATGTTCAGATCTGCTGAGTTAATTTTGGTGAGGTCGGGAAAAACTCTGAGTCCGGTGTTCAAAATCACACTAAAATGAAGGACAAACAATCAAACCATTTTATTGTAACTGTATCCACAGACTCCCCTGAATGAACTACTCTCCCCAACATCTGCTATTTGAATTAACATACCTTTGCATGTTATTGTGTATGCACTAAGTAATAATAATTCGTGTTTCAAAATAAATATGAAATATACACACACATTATTATTTTGCAAATAGCAGCATTGATGTGCAACATGTTTCTTAGACAGGTCTCTGTCCCAAAGATCTTACAGCCTAGAGTCTTTACTGGCACAGCTGCTTGCACAATGCAACAGTTTGGCTTAGCATGTTTTAGTTTCCCTGATGGTTCCTGGGAACCTTGACTCTTGGATATTTCAGTCAGAGTTGTTGCATACTAAGGGTTGCCAAGTGCACAGAAAATTAGAGACATGCAATATTTGATCATGACATGTGAAATTTCATCTACTAATTCCTAAAATTTTTCTAATACCACTATTAAAAGTCATAGAGAATTAAGCTTAGGATGTCAAAATACAAAGATTGACAAGGCTCCTGTATCCATAATAGTACTAGTGGGAATTTTCACAGGTGCTAGTTGTCCTACATGTACTAAAATGGAACTACACTACACTAGTATTAAAGATCTCAGTGGGATCTAGCAACCTGCAAATAACTGGCTTTTCAACAGCATCTAGTGAAGAGGGAACCATCCTAGTCACCATTACCAAGTAGGCAGAGATAAGTCCCACTGAAGTCAGTTGAATTCATACATTGCCACTTGACTATAATAGCATCCTCCAGTGTTTCAGGTGCATAAGGATTAAAGAATTGCTCCAGATAGGTAGAAATCTGTTCTAGGCCTTATATTTGCTTTGACTTCTTAAGTAGGCTTCTGACCTTTGGAGGATGTATAAAGTGGTAGTTTTTTTCAGATGTGGGAAGGAGCTGGCAGTCTTCCAGTTGACAGTGTTGGAAGAGAGACAATTTACAAGTTGAAGTGGCAATTTAAATGTGTTTATTTTATTCTTATTAAAAATAATCACCTGGCAGATTATTTCAACAACATATCATTCCCTACATTGAGCAAAGATAATTACCATATACTAATGAAGTTTAACTAGAGCGAAGTACCATGCTTGGTCAAAACTGATTAATGGCTTTCAAGAAAATGTACTTCTAATTTCTCTTCTAATTTCAGTTCTTGAAAACCATCTGTAATCACATTGCCATAAACAAATCAACTGAACTCAGCAGGGCACTGAATCTCCAACCACCTCCTTGATTCCTATGGCTTGCTCCTTGCAGAACAAGAATGTCTTGAACTTCAGAGTATGTTTAACTTCCAGCCATGCTTTTGCTTGTGGGTTGAATGCCAATGCTGCCTGCATGGAGTGAGTAGCTGATGTGGCTTTGGGTGTTGGTCAGCCCAGACCAACAGGAGGTTGTTGAGGATAAAAAAGGTCCCTCTTGTTCACTGTCTGACTTAGAGAGACAGGCAACACCAGCAAGTGATTTTATAAAGAAACCTCTTTACTGTAGTTTCACATTAGAGAATGAGCCCATCTCCAGTCGTGATCAGCTGCACAGTGCTTCAATATGTTTAGCTTTTTGCAATGATTAGTAAAAAAACATTATGCAGAAAACATGACACTACTTGTGTGCATGGTGTGCATCTTAACCTACACTTCTGGTGTCAAAACAGCTGGCTCCAAGCTTATCTTTCACACATTCTGACCTTCTTTATTTCATATTTTCAACTCTCTTATGTCTCTCTGATAGAACCATTAATAACTGACTCTTGTTTGGTCATCAGGAAAAATATGTAATCTTCAAGATGAACATAGGTATGAGTAAGTGAGTGTCATAAAGTTGTGTGTAGTGTGCTACTTCCACTGCAAGGTGGCTTTTGGTTCCAGGCTCCCTCTGCTGCTGCAAACTAAAGTCTGTTTGTGTGTTTGGGGAAGATTTCTCGATGAAAGACCAACCTGTCCTTGGATGAAAGTGGAAACATGGGATGGAGGTGTGACGATAACAACTTCCACTGCAATTTTAACTAACCATTAAACTACCCTGTGGCTCAAATGAGATTCACTTGTGTGTGTGCTCACACATTTTTAGAAAGGAGATGCATGTAAGACCCCACAAAGTTGACTATAAAAGAGAGACATGGTGCTGAGCTGATTAACCCTTCTTTGGCTATTCTTGCAATCCAAATCCATCCACCCATGGGCATCTCCTATTTCCCCCATGGATGGTAAAGCAAGGAGTGATTCCCCCTTCTTAGGGCCGGTGCTACAATCAAATGTATGGACTGCTGCCAAGCTTGACACTCCAGGAGACCAGAAAACAACACCACACTGTTATGTGGAGTTGCCATGCTCTACTGCCTCCCGGGAGTCTGGAAAACAGAAACACTGGTCCACTTTGCAAGACTGATGCTATCCATGCTTCCTTCAACAAAGTATTCCCCACTCAAGTACTTGAAGGAGTATCTCCTCCAGTATCTTGCATCTACTATAAGAACATTTTCAGAGGAGGAAATTCTTCAAGTACCATCTTTGAGAGAAAGACATGAACTCACAAAGTGAGGACCTTTTCTGTAGCGATGCTCCAACTTTGGAGTCCCCCTGCTGCCCCTGAAGATAGTATTGGCACTGACTATGCTTTCCTTTTAGAGCCAAATCAACCCCCCCACCCAATTCTGTAAGAGCTCAGATTCTGCAAGGATAACCATTTCCAAGGATTTTGTTTCAAGTACTTACAGATATTTTAGCAGTGGGAGATTCATAAAGGCTTCAGGATCTATGTATCCCAGGTTTCTAGCATTTCGGATATCTCTGCTCAAAATATAAACACATTTCCAAAAAGAACATTACTATTTGTTGGGAGTGAGAAAGATGTCTACTTTGGGCATTCATGCTCAAGGACTGCTGGCTGGACTTCAGAGGAATCAGAATCAGAATCTGAAGGTGAATGGAGGGGAGGGGGGGCTGGCAGGATGGGCCATGCCAAGACATGGAGATGAGAGGAGACACTTATCTCAAGGCCAGACTTCCCAGGTGGGCAGGCAGTCCCTGGGAATAACCAAGAAGCACAATTGGCAGGAAGGGACTAGGAGCAGGAGAGTTTCTAAGACTCAGGCAAGGTGGTCCTGGCTCTGGACCCCATGATGTGGCCAGCAGAGGAGGACAGCTCAATTAGACGATTGGTGTGCAGAGAGGAAGTGTGCTCACTTTCAGAATGCCCCTCCTGAAGGGAAAGGGTCAATGTGTGCTCATAAGGAGAGTTCTTGGAGTGAATACTAGACAGAGTTCAACAAAACAAAAATGTTTTAATAAATAAATAAATAAATAAATAAAACACTCTGTGCATCCTCAGAGATTCATTCCAGGTATTTTGTGCTTTTTGGTCAACAAAGAATGCATTGCAAGGAAAAGGTCTGTGGCTTTGAATGCGCAAAGGTGGAACCCTAGCTCATGACACTACTGTGTTTTTGTATTCCCTGTAATAAATACAAACCCTCAAATATCTGAGAAACATTAAGCCTTTCTTATGAATAAGACCACTAGAAAATGTTTTACCCAAGTAACATGTAACACATGGGTCTCAAAAAATAAGCATTTCCCTGTGAAGTATGGTGGCATCATTGTCTGAGTAGATCTCTTCTGGACCCCAATATGGTTGTGCAATGGAAAGCTTGCTTGTCCTCTCTCTGAGCACTGCTGGAGTAGAGGGCTAACTTTTTAGACTAGATGTTATGACCTTTCTCCTGGCTGAGACCAGAACAACTCATCCCTCCATTCTATAAGAACTTCTTACTTTGTAAACAAAAACAAACAGGCATTTAAAATATATTGTCTGTGCATTTCCCACTGACATAGTTTAAAAATATTTTTAACATAAACTTAAACTGGACAGTACCCAGTTGTATGATTGTATTTTTCCTACATAATGTTTAATGTTATTAAAGCCAATTGACACAAATAAACTATGGGGATAGTTGATAAATATTATTTTAGAAGCTAGACTTCTGAAATATACTGTTTCATTACAGCATAAAGAATTCACTTATTCCCCAAAGAACCTTACACTCAGGAGAATAAATAATTAAGCAGATGGCAACAACATCTAATGAATGGTAATGATCTGTGGAACTTTGAAGGGAATTCAGAAAAAAAAAATCTAAAGAGGTTTTTCTTCTTCTTATGCAACAGCTCGCCAGCTATCTGGCATGCACAGCTAAACCTTTTAAACTGTTTAATATTAATTTTCCACAATCACTATAGTTAAATTAGTGTGCTCTCATTATGCAAGTTTCTCAAAACTACAAAACCACCAGTATGAGCATAGGGGTGTTTTTGTCACCCTCTTATTGTCATTCCCCCACTGAAGGAATCCTCCAAGGAGCTTGAGATGGGCCACATCCATGTCAGTAGATCGAGGGGAGTCTGAGCTCTTAGGCGAGGTGGCTGTAGTTGTACCCCCAAGGAGAAGAGGAACTCCACCTCTGAGGCAGATGCAGGGTAACCATCCAACCACCAAGAGCATCCTTGCCTCACGAGGCAGGCCAGTCCAGCTCCTTTGAGAAGCACCCTTTCCTTCTCCATGGTTTTCTTGCGAGGCAGGAGAAGGGGCCAGTTACATTCTGTTAACACAAGCAAACATGCATATATGTTTAACAGATGTTAAAAAATAGAAGGGAACTTAAAAAGTCACCTCCCTTTCACAGATCACTTTCCCAGCTCCTCCTACTTCCCCCACTTTTCCTATGAAGGCATTTGTGTGAGACACAAGATCATACTTTCAGCACAGTGGAAACTGCTCTGTGCTCATTAGCATGTCCCTCACAGTGGTAAATGCATTCTGCATAAATACTGTGCCAGTGTTCCCTGACTCATGGAAAGTGTTCCAGCATAGCGTTGCCCCGAGTTTCAAAACAGAGCTACTGCACTCTTGCACAGCTTGTCCGCAGCACCAGTGGTAGCTCTCTATTCCTGCTGTGATGGTTTCATCAGCCGGGTCTCACACAGAGACTGCTGAAGTGCTATCAAGCAGAATGAAAACATTACAGAAGAGATAAACAAGATCCGATGGGTTTAAATTTTTAATATATTATTACACACGATCTTCAAAGTTTTATTTTCATAAATTTACTTACATATGAGTGACTTTGCTTAAATTGTTGAAAGAATAAGCCTTCAGTGACTGCAGGGATACATCTGTGCTTATGTATCTACATAGAAGAAAGATGAAAAGGAAGGAATGTCATACACAAAGGCGGAGAGCAACCCATGAACTGAAGTAGTTGCATTTGTTCGCTGTTAGTATTCTGCTCTGCCATTGGCTTTGTTTGGATGAATGAGAAACTGGTGAATAAGCCCTGAGTGTGCATATTCTGCCTTCTCTGCTTCTCCGCTAATGCAGGAGGAATATAGAAGCATTTGTTTCCACTTTCAACTGAGTTATCTGAACTGGGAATATTAATTTCTGGTCATGAGCAAAGATCCAGCAAATTCTGGCTTTTCAAGCCCCTACTGAAAGCCAGATGCTAATATAAGGAAGAACCGCCAGTAGCTCTGTGCCCTACAGGCCAAATCGAAATGACATAGAAAACTATCATTATATGAGGTTAAACTCCAGGGCACAAAACACAAAGCCCTTAGCTGACCTTCACGTACATTTGGAAAACCCTGTTCCAAGTAATTCCATTGTCCAAGCAAGGTCTGCTTCACTGTGCATGTTATTGTTGAGAACGTTAAATATTTTCCAATGATACTTTGTTCAGCTGGCACTTTTCAGTGCATTAATCCTTGCTTTCCCGGGCAGCATCCTAGACCGCTGATGCCCCTCTGCTAATTCCATTGTGTAAGAGAGACTCACTGCTAATGCAACAAGAACTAGTACTTCCAAAAGCAAACTCAGGAAGGAGCAGAAGCACAATTTCCTGGGTGGGGACAGTGGAGCTCCCTTCTACAAGCTCTGCTGACTTGTCCTGATCCATAAACCAGCATTTTGCTTCTTTCAGGATGCTTGAGGAGCTGCTAGCTCCCCACTGCACTAGCAGGAAGTCCTAGGATACTCCTTCTTGTAATTAAACAGCAAAAGGTTCTCTGAAAGGCCAGCCACAAGACTGTGGTCCTGATGCAGCAGGGTTGGGGAAGCCTTTCAAAGCAGACTTTTAGCATAGTGTGAGACGGGGTTGCAGGAGGGAAGAGAAAGAGAGGATATTCTAGTTGGCTTCCCACCACAAAATGTGTGACTTGACACTTGCACATAGATAAAAACAGTGTTTCAATAAGAAGTAGAAACTTGCTGCTAGCAGAATGACAACACTAGATATGAGCCTCTCCCAACAATAAACACTGTGGTTTCTCTTCAGAGCTGGTCTAATTTCCCTTTCTCTTCCCCATTTCCTCATTCTCCTATACCTCACCTTTCAGCCATCTTCTCTCTGGGTCTGCTGCCCTGTAACTTCCCTGCCTCCTGGCTCCTCTTCACAATTCTCCTCAGTCTGTTTCATAAAGTTACTCCTTTCTTTGGACCAGAGGCCTTAGACCACATGTGGTTTTTAATCTCCACTTTCCCTCCTTTCTCAGAAAACAGACTGCAAACATCCCAACAGCCTTCTCTTTGCCTTCACGACATCCATCCCTGACTGTTCGCTGACGACATAAACACCACTTACCACATGCTTCTTTATCTACACCAATGTGTGACTATTGTGTTCTCAGTTAGGCATACCTTTAAGGGCCAAATTACATACATGTGGCACTATAAATTGTCATGAGGACACTTCTGTCCTTAGCCAAGCAGCATTTCGGGGAGCAATCTTGGTCAGAATTGCAGTGCAAAAGCAAAGGTTAACCTCCTGTTGTGAGCTGGTCCCTTCCCTCCTTCCTTTTGGTTATCCAACTCAGTGCAAATCCTTGAAGTGCAATTATTTTCTTGAAACTTAACAGATGACAGAGCAGTACGAACTCTAAATAGCCTTCTATTAAGTTGCCCATATACAGAGTTGAATCCAAACTGGAAAATTCCCCTCTGTGCCTCCCTTCTGACTCCATCCTCAGGAGGCTTTTGCTGCTTAAGGGCAAGATGGTGGGAATGCCAGTGAACCTCTGACTGGGCAGCTTGTTTCTCTTGTTGCCTCCTTGCAAGGTCAAGGACTGGGTCTCACATCTGCTCTCCTTCCCATCCCAAACCCGCCCACCCCCTTTCCAAAGCAGACTGATTCTTATGCTCTGCTGGAGAAACTTCAGGAGGGAACCTTGAACCTTCAGCGTCATTGCCTCCCCTCTTGCACCTGCTCCTCCTCCTCGACAGACTCAGATGAATCTGAACAGGCTGTAATGGGCAGAAGACAGGGCCACTCTCCAGGCACCTTTCCCCATGTACTGCAATCCCAATCTCAGCCATGGGAATTCAAGGCAGAAAAAGGCTTGCACAAATGTTGTGCCTTTAAGGGAGGCCTTCAATGCCATGTGCAATTTGGCCCCAGGACTGGAGCAAGTGCCAGGAAATACTAGGTGTCTTCAGACATGATGCCATTCATTCCTTTGCAGATAATTTCACACACGTGCTCGTGTACATGAGAAAAGAGTGCGGCATACGTACATAGACATGTACTCGTGGACCACCAATTAAGAGTTAGATCTCAGATCATGAGAAGCGTTCTGCTCATGGAAGGTCCCTCTGTCTCTTTTTTGGGAATTGTCTCCCCTTTCCAGCTCATCCCACCTAGCAGGGTCTCCTAATTGTTCGCTGGAGGGCCATTATGGGAAAAGGGCTGGGGAGAATTCCTTCCATCAGCACAGCTAATCTAAGTCTGGGTCCAGCCCAAATTCTCTGAACTGAGCCTCATTCTCAACCAAGTGGCAGATTATGCTCAGTGGGAAAGAAGCCTGATCTGGAGCCCACTATTAAGCATTTATTCAGCTGCAGTATATTGTGAGGTACGAAGTTCTTTCTCAAAGGACCATGGAGCAATTCCAACCCCTCAGGGGATTTCTGAGAAGCTCAAGGGATCTGGATATCAGGCTGTCTCGGCCCCAGCCTTATGTAGCAGAGTGCCATAGAGGACAAGAGAGAATGCCAGCCTTCTTTTGATTTGCTGGCTGGGGTGATGACAGCCATAGTTCAACAATCCAGAGGATATCAGGTTGCAGAAGGAAGGCTGGCAGAGTGGACACAGTGTGGGATTTTGATCTAGGAGGTCTGAGGTCAAGTTGCCACTTTGAAGGCTGTGAAATTAAGCCACCATTTATGTGATGGTATACTTCGCAAATATTAAAAAAAATGAGAGAGAGACACCTATAAACCATCATGGGCAAGGGTATGGTGGAACCTGACACTGGCCAAAAGGGAATGCAATGCACTCTCCCTGCACAGAGCTCTGATTTTAAAATATAGTACTGAATCAATGTATCTGTAATCTGAGTTAACAAAGTTGTTTTAATGGATTTTCCCATTTATTAAAGAAGGAAATATTACATAAGGAAAACTTACATCCTGGAAATGTTGGGGAAACTGGAGAAAGCTTCACTGGGAATTGTTGTCAGATGGGTTTCCATAAACCTCCTGTAGGAACAAAACTTAATCAGTTAATATTCTCTTTAGATTATTATCCCATTAAAATGCCTTAGTGTTTCTCCAACTGGGTTGGAATTAATTGATAACCTTGAGGAAAGAAACTAATTACACAACAGGTGGAGATTTCACGAAGTTTGTCTATTTATTTATTTATTTATTTATTTATTAAAACATTTTTATGCCGCCCCATTCGCCGAAGCCTCGGGGCGGCTTACAACAAAAAATTAAAATAACATTTTAAAATATATACAATAAAATACAAATATATAATATAAAACATACACTATAAAACAAGCCGCCCTGGCCAAATAAAATTCAATAATATTAACATTTAAAATACTGCTTAAATAAAAAGGTCTTCGCCTGGCGCCGAAAAACAAATAACGACGGCGCCAGGCGTCTACTAATATTTTTCTTCTGGAAGATCATACATTGATTATTAAAAGCATTACAATGCTGGGATCTGAGCATGGGAAATGGAAGCCATTTTCATTTCATTAACTTTGGCCATTGAAACAAGTGGTTAACTACAGACACTCCTCACAGAGGCATATAACTGAGCCCCAGGAAAGTCTACTTTAGGGGAGGGAGATCTGCAGGAAGAATTGGTGGTCAGAGAGAAAATTAATCTATTGTTCAGCTAATTCTTCCCTGCAAATCAAATCTCCCAAAATTGGGAGAAGGAAGAGTTGGAGGAGAAAGGGCCATGTGGGTTTGGCTAAACATTTTACGCAACTAGATGCAATTTGTGAGACAAAACAAATTAGTTTTTCAGGATGGTAGACAGTGACTGCTTTATCACAGCATCTTTAGCTCTCTTAAAACGATTGTTCTAAGGTTTGTTCCTTTCTCAACACAGTTATTTATTTATTATGTTCATATCCTACCAATTTTCCCTTCAAGAATTCAAGGCAGCTTACCTTATTCTCGTCCTGTCACTTTTATACCCACAACAACCCTGTGAGGTAGGTTGGGCTGGGTGTCTGTGGCTGTCCCAAAGTCACCCAGTGAGCTCCATGGGGGCTTGAACCCAGTTCTCCTGAGTCCCAGTCCCATGCTCTTAACCGCTGAACCACACTAGCTCACAGTTACCCCTTCCTCTACAATATAATCTTTCAGCACTCTGTTTGCTGAAAGATTGCATGTAGAAACTATCTACTTTATGGGAAGACCAACACTGGAACATTGATTGTTTGTAAGAGCTTTTTCTACACAAAGCTATTTATCAGCTGTTATTCTGCTCCACCTGATTCCAGTTTTGCTGCAGAACTGAGCTCTAAGCACTGCACAAGGCATTTCCTTTCCTGTCTTTCTGCTACATAAGCTCTAGGTGGCATTGTGAAAAACTGGGATGGCACAAAAACAAAAGAATGTATGCTTTGGTTTGCTTAAAAGCTGCATTTTCCCCACACTTTAAAAAATCATCAATACAGCTAGTTAGACACAGAAGTGATACCGGGATGTCTTGTTATCATTTAGAGAATCTGTAAACACCCATGAGTAGGGAATAACAACCACACAATAAACACTTTGTGTAAACTGCTCCTAGTTTAATTAAAGTAGAAACATTTGGGAGTTTAAACCTTTCCCCCTCCACCAATCTAAATCACTGTCTTGCTTCTCCATTCTGCTGCTTTATCCCCAGTGTTTTCCACCTGTCAGCTAACAACCTCTCCAAGGGGTTATTTAGATTAGGAAGAACATCTTTCCCAGTTTAATGGCTCTAATTAAATTCAGAGTACTCACCACCAACAGCATCTGCCTTAAAGTAATCAATCAAAGTCGAAGAAATCAAACATGGATCTCACCACCCATGGTTTTGCCCTGAAGTTGATTAGCAGGCAATAACTTAAAATATTGCCTGTACTAACTTATTGTGGCTGGTGTATGGGACCCTACAAACAGCCCAACCAGGACTGAATATACTCAATGCCATGGAATGGAAGTAGAAGGGAGATAGCTAAGAATGGTGGTGTGAAGAAGCAATGGAATCAAGTATCATGAAAGAACCATGACTGACTGGAGAACATCCTAAAGAAGACCCCTTCACACTACAAGGCTTTGTTGTAAGTCCCACTGAATTACTGAAATCACACTTTCATAATTTTAAAATGATTGGGGCCCTCCAGTACACACACTACACTCCCCTATAGCATTTAGCATAAAATGTGCAAAATTCTAGGGTACCATGATTTCCTTCCTGTGCCAGAAACTCCCAATAATTAAGCAGGTCAGTGGATCAGGAAAGAAGGAACATGGTGGTCACACCAATCTTCTTCCTTCCCTGCAAACCTTTCCCTTTTGCCATCCTACTTTTCACTTCCATCATCTAGCCTTGCTAGATCTTTCCACCAAAGTCCTCACCTTGCTATTACGCTAGTCTTCCTATTCCCACCTCTCCTCTTTCCTATCCCCAGCCTTGCTATTACTTGCTTACCTGCCCCTTTATCTGCACTCCTAGCCTTCCTTTTTCTCTTCCACTGGCACCCTAGCCTTGGTATTTCCCACTTCTTCCCATCTGTAGCCTCACTATTTCTCTCCCATACTTCTTTTGACTAGATAGGCCCCACAGTGGTCTTTGATGTAACTACCCACATTCTCCATGGGAGTTTTTTTTTTTTTTTTTTTTTTTTTTGTGGTGCTGCCCAAAGCAGGGCTTAAATTTTTCAGATGTATCCACAGACCCCAAAAGTTTGGGGAATCCTGCTCTAAACAGTATCTCTACAAGAAAGAACAAGAAGTTCCTAACGGTGTTCTTGCTAAATTCATTCACCAAGCAACACTTCATCAAACACACATCTATGCTAGAAACTGGACTTTTTTCTTTTCTTTTTTCAGTTGTTTGCTATGTCTCAGCTGCTGAGATTTTTCTCTTGTTATGTCAGTCTCTATAGCTTTTCCAAGTCTGCAGAATTAATTATAAAAAAGACACTCAAGCCACTAGGATTAGGAGCAGGGAAGCAGAAATACATGTGTCAAATTGAATCCTACTGATTTTTTACTTGAAAAGCAAGACAAAGAATGCACATATTAATACAGTACACTTTTAAAACTCTTCCCCAGTGTTTCCCCAAATAATATATGAAATATGCAAAGCATGTGCTTTAGACAGAACATATATTCTTTATTCTCAATGTTTACAACAAGCATTTCATATTTTATTCACAGTGCAATAAGTCAAGTCAGTATTAAAGCAAATATTCCAGTTATGGGATTCCTTATGTAAATCTTGATATTCAAGACAGACATCTGTATATTTATTAAGGAACATGACTATCAAGTATATTCCATATGGAAAACTGGTCATATGAATCCAAGTTCATCTGTGTATAAAGTAAGTTCCAAGTTTATCTGTACATAATAGTCAAACCCATCACATATCAAATAAAAACATACCACTCCAGAGTGATTTCTAGAAAAACTAGTATTATGTAGTCTACTGCTGACAAGGGGAAATATCCAATCCAGCACTAACACTAATGTAAAATATGGTGTGCTAATGTGACCTCCTAGAGCAGGGGTCTCAAACTCAACTTACCTGGGGGCCACTGGAAGTAGAGTCTGGGTGAGGCTGGGCCGCACCAAGTATTCCACCACCGCGGTGGTGGTGGGCCGCTCATCCCGCGGCGTTCCTGGAGGCTGGCCCGGGTGCCACAGGCACTTTGAAGGCCGCAGGGCCCCTCCCCCATGCCCCGCCCGGCCCGGCAATTGGCCCGCGGGCCGCGCATTTGAGACCCCTGTCCTAGAGCAACAGGAATAGCATTGTCTGGCATGACAGCGTTCCCAGAAAATTGATGGCACCAGGAAGAGCTCCTGGTGGAGGGCTAGAGACTGCTTATGCTAGCTCAATGTAATTTACATCCCTACTGCCAAATGAGAGACTGCCCATCATCTTATATTACATATTGTACCTCTAATCGTTTTTTGGAAAGGAGGAATGTAACAAACAGAACAATAAATAAAAATAACCTTGTCAGGTTATGGAAAGGTTTAACATAAGGCAAACTAAGTCACTTAACATATTGCCTGAAATACCTAGGCATTCTGGAGTAACATGAATTATGAACAGAAATGTCCATTCATGAGGAATCCATGCAAATATTCCCACCCACTGGAAATATCTCCTTTTCTCCACAAACATAATTATCATATTATCCCAATTAGAGCAGGCTTATATACAAAACCTGAGAAATGAATAGTGACTGAGTGTTGCTCAACAAAATGACTTGCTTGTGTTTTCTGGACATGTCTACATATTGCAGTTCTTCGGGGGATTTACTAAACTTGCAAATCTGGGTGTGGGTCCCAGTGAACTTAGTAGGATTTACTTCTGAGTAGAGAAGTATGTATGGTTGCAAGCCATGCTTACTTCTGAGGAAACCAGAATGAATTCAGTAGGGTTTGCATCTAAATTAAACATACACAGAATTCAACTTAACATCTCCCCATTTCATGAAACATATTTTTCTTTCAATTCTTTTCAAAATATTTGTTTGTCATTTAATTTATTTAGGATTTTTCTAGGCCTTCCAATCACTTCCGCCTCTGGACAGCTCAACAATCACAACAGTCTATAAATACAACAATCCTGTCTTGAATTAGAGTAAACTGTTGCTGTCTTTATCCCATCACGCTCTTGACTCTGTTCTTCTCTAAGAGGAAAATAACTACCATTTGCTCACATGTGGAACCCAAACGCCATTGCCATCTAATTAAAAAAATATATGTAGGATTGCTAAGCCTGAGTCTACATCAATTCTTGGTCACTTCAGTTTAGTGGCCTTGTTCATTAATACTTTGCTGACTTTTCATCACAGAGATGTAGGCTCAAAAGAGAGTATAAAATCCCACCGCTGCCTCCAGGAATACATTCACCCGCAGGCAGACAGATCTGCATTGACAGCAAATGTGAAGCTGTGGACCAGAGCAGCCAATGTGGGTGGAGGTTAGCACACCACTGGTAGCAACAGGAGTGTAGAGATAGGAGG